CAATTTACGAAATACATATATTCAGGGTTCATACCCTCAACTCCAAGATTAGAAGAGTTACTTACCTCGAACAAGCCGAATCCAATGTCGATCAAGCTAAACAATGCTCTAGAAATCCCATTATGCATGTATCAACTCCCAAATGGCTCGAATCTAGTCACAATTAATTTGATTCAGCCCACAAAATTTATAGGAATTAATTCCATATCAAAATACTAATATTTTCACAAAATCCGAAATTATGCCCCAAAACTCATCCATGGGGCCCACGTCTCGGAATAAGACGAAACTCACAAAATCTGACAACCCATCCAATTACGAGTTCAACCATACTAATTTCACTCAAATCCAACTCTCAATTGGTGTTCAAATCTCGAAAAATTATCTTATGAACTTTCTACAATTTTTTCCAAATTTTTACCTCAAAACACTGATTATATGATAAAAATAATGATATTTTCATGTACGTTAACCAAATCTGAGTTAAAATCACTTACCCCGATGAATTTCTTGAAAAACCCACGAAAATACGTCTCCAACCGAGCACCCAAAGTCCAAAAATGAAATAATAACCTAAACCTCGGATATATAGTGCACCTCTCGGATTCTCAATACGCTGACCGCGCATTTTCACCGCCCCGCGAACGCCTTACCGCGGCTGTAAAAGTTTGGTGGCTACACTGCCAGGCTTTAGTATTTTGGCCATAACTTTCTCTACAGATATCCAAATGATGACTTCTTTACCTTTCTGGAAACTAGACATGAAGGGCTACAATTTTAGTTTTGAATCATCTCAAAATTCCTTGTAGATCAAAAGATACAGTCTTCCGAAATCGGACCAGCGGAGCTACAGATCTTCCTGGAGCGCGGCCGCAGACAGAATTGCGCGGACCGCGGTAAGGCGTTCGCGGGGGTGGTGGAAATGCGCGGTCAGCGTATTCAATTGGGATTATTGGGCTGAAATTTAAAAAAATCGCTAGATATATAAGTGATAATTGAAAAATAGTCATAGTTTCAAAAGTAATCAAAATTTAGCCACTTTTATTTAAAGATAAATCTGAACAAAAACACTGTTTAAAATCCAAAAAATATTCCAGCATAATATACTAGAACTATAGCGGGCTCACCATAAGCTGAGTAATGAAGAAGATCTATATCATCCTGTAGAAGTATACCTGCATCCATTCAAAGATGCAGCGCCCCCGACAAAAGGGACGTGAGTACATGTGGAATAGTGCTCGTATGTAAGACAGACAAAACAACATATGAAAATACGGTAACTCAAATAATAGGCAAACAAAGTACATCAAGAAATTACGAAACATCCCATAGAATCAAATTTCAAGTCTTATTATACCTACATCATTCTGAACTTCTTTTGAGATCAATTGAGCCATATGAATTATGTATGGAATACATAATATAATGTAATTGAAACAACATATACAAACAAAGGCCAATGAAAGTGGCACCTATTGTCTGCGTTACAATGCGTCTCACTAGACCATCCATATCCCTCTCTTATTTTACACATATACATTTCATAGACCGTCCTTAGTGTTCACATATTATATTATACACCTACGCGTCTCATAGACCGTCTATAGTGTTCACATATCATATTATATACTTATGTGTCTCATAGACTATCCATGGTGTTCACATATTATACTATACACCTATGCGTCTCATAAATCGTCCGTAGTATTTATTCATACCGTATACCTATAGGATTACATATACAATACACATATGCGTTTCACAGACCATTCATAGGATTTTATATACAATACACCTATGCGTTTCATAGACCGTTCATAGGATTTCATATACAATATACCTATGCGTTTCATAGACCGTTCATAGGATTTCATATATACACCTATGCGTTTCATAGACTATTCATAGGATTACATATACAATACACTTATGCATTTCATAGACCGTTCATAGGATTTCATATACAATACACCTATGCATTTCATAGACCGTTCATAGGATTTCATATACAATACACCTATGCATTTCATAGACCGTTCATAGTATTACATATACAATATACCTATGCGTTTCATAGACCGTTCATAGGATTTCATATATACACCTATGCGTTTCATAGACCGTTCATAGGATTTCATATATACACCTATGCGTTTCATAGACCGTTCATAGGATTACATATACAATATACCTCTGCGTTTCATAGACCGTTCATAGAATTACATATACAATATACATATGCGTTTCATAGACCATCCATAGGATTTCATACACAATACACCTATGTGTTTCATAGACCGTCCATAGGGTTCATAACATATCATTATGCACATAACCATATATAAACTCAAGTGACATGACTAACGCTACTTTTAAGGTCATAAGTTCCCAGATCATTGGAACACTTCATGTTCATGCTCATCATGGAGAAACATAGCTCATTACATTAGCACATGTATGGTGAATCAATAAGTCTATTTCAATGGCACATGGCCCAAATTCGTTTTCATAAGATTTATCATCATTTAGCATATGATATCTCTCTTCCACCTCATTATATACCCTCTAGTCAACTTAAGGTCATTAGCTAAGTTCATGATTCTTGGGGACTTAACATCGAAGTCATTTGCATTTATTATTTTAGAAGCATACATACTATGATTGAGACCATTGGGACATACAACACCTCATAATTCTCATTTTGGTAAACGGTCGCATTTCATGTTCATACTATCACTTACTTGTACTTGCCATGGGTGATCATAGGACATTAAGAATATTTAAAACATTTAGGAACACCATAGCCTCTCCTCATGAGGGCGTAGAATAGCACATTGGAAACATAAGTACGAATACGTTCATCTCATAATCTTTCACACTATATATCACTTCATTAGTACTTTCAACTACTTACAACATCATTATTTCATTGGCTCCCTTGGCCATATATATTATTCTTCATTCATTGCATTGTGGCCGTATATAATATTTCACACTTTTATTTCTTTACTTTCAAGGATTATCATCATAAACATCAACATATAGAATATTCTTGAAGTACCTTTCCCAAAAAGGACAATACACAATTCCAACTCATAAATATGTAAAGGATTAAAATACATTGGAAATACTTACAAAGCACAACATTAGTTAAAGCAGCCACATTGGGGCATGACTTGAGGACATAAGCTTTTAGGCAAACCTATTTTCGAAGTCAATTAGGAACGGGTGAATCAAGGCTTATTTCATAACCTCTCTCACATCATTTTATTTCATTGACACCATTGGCCACAAGTATAATTTCCATTATTGGTACGATGGCCACACTTTACATCTCCAGCCCACTTATTTTACTTTCCATCATCTTTATGGGTTATCAACAACAATGCATTTCTAATCCAGACCTTAGGTACACATATGAACAATTAAGAGTCTTAAGCGCATCGAGTTTTTCTCACATAATTTGGCATCATAACTTTCATTTGAAACACGACTCAAAGCCATAACATTTTAATACACAACTCATATTTTGAACACATTTTCAAAGAATAACAAAACATGATAAGAGCATTCAGAACACATATTGAACATATTTCTTTCGGCACAAAACTTATTCAGAATAGTCAATTCATAATGAACAACTCGGTACTTACAAGAACATCGTGGGATTCAATTCTAAGAGAGAAGTTTAGCCAACATACCTGGAATTTGCCCCTTAATAATACTACGACGTTCCACCACACTAAATAACTTAAATCTACAACAATGCAACACAATTGCACCAATATTAGCAAGATTTCTATACTTTAAGTCATTTAGACTTTTTATCAAACATCTAATGTGCATATCTTTTTACAACCTCCTTCAACGGAATATATTCACCTAACAACTACCTACCACACCAATGATTTACTTCATAGTCACCTCTAGGCCATCCACAACTTTCATTAGCACATGCATGCCCAACAATTCACTCCCAACCCATAAATCTTATCAATTAATTCATTTTACAATCTCTACAATACCAACACAACCTAGGTTAGGAATTTCTTTCTTTCAATCACCATCCCATAAGTCCTAACACATATTCCATACATAAATAATCACCATGAATTAGTTAGAGATGGCGGACATACCTCTTGTAGTGAGACTCTTGAAAATCCCAACTTGTAGGATTCCTGACCAATTTGGGAATTTGAATGGAAATCTATGGATCTTCAAGATTAATAATTCTAGTTAATATAAGTGTTTAGGAGTAGTAATCAACTCAAAATTACTCCAAAAATATTACCTTGGTTCATGGGAGGGAAGTTTTGGACGGATTCCCCTTGATATGCAAACCCTAGCTCAAAGAAATGACTTATCCCCTCTCTCCACGTGCGCGGCCGCGCACCTGGGCAAGTGACCGCACATCTGGCCGCACACACAAGGCAGGATACTCTCTTATATGTGCGGTCGCGCATATCGTAGAGGTCTGGTAAAATGGCCATAACTTTCTTTAGAAATATCCAAATGATGAACGGTTTGATGCGTTGGAAACTAGACTCAAAGGGCTTTAATTTGATAGGTATATCATCACCTAAGTCTTTATATTTTGGGAGTGGCATTTGTTAGAAGTAGGGTCTTGTGCTAATTGAGACATCCTTTCCACTTAATGTATCCAATTTGTTCCACACAAATTCTTGTCATTCATAAAATTTCTTAGTATGTTCCAACTCACCTTAAACATATATTTTAATTTCAAAATAATGGGATTTTATCCCATGAGTCTCCTTTAATACTCGAATACATTATTTTCAAATACCGTTGACGCACTTTACAATCTTAAATCATTAGGAGATTTTAACGGGGTCTTAGAAGAACACTACTAGAAAATGACAGTTTTCTGACCGCAATTTCGCGATCAAAAAAATGCAGACGGAGTTTCCGACTGAAACGGTAGCAAAATTACTGAAAAATATATATATTTTTTATAATTTTAAGATTGACATTGCGACTGTGTCCGTCGAAAACATTGGCGGATAACATCGAAAAATACTTATTTCGCCTCTTTCTCTCTTTCTTTTTTTCTTTCCTCCCATCTCCTCCCCCACTGCAGAACCCTCCAAAGCTGGTGCCATTGAAGACGGAGGTAAGTTAATTCTTTCTCTCCTTCTCTCTATCCATCGTCCTCTCCTCTTCTTCTCATTTTCCTTTCTCAATTTTTTAAGTAGGTGGGCAGCAGCGGCACCGGTGGACTCCGACAGTATTCTCTTCCTCTACACTCAGCGACAGTGTTCTAGTGGTGCTCTTCTACGATTGCAAGGTTATTAAAATTTATTATTAAAATTATTAAAATTATTCAAGTATTTAGAAATTTATGATAGAAAATATCATGAGTTTCAATTTTGTAGATGATTTGTTTTTTGTTTTGAAATCATAAAATTGATTAGTTGGGTTAAAAATTGTGTATTTTTCATAGTACACCTATATTTTGTATTTCTCATACATTTTGTAGTTCTAATAGCACACCTAAAAGTTAGTTAGTTGGGTTAAAAATTGTAAACTCATCGGTTGTAGTTGGAATCAAGATTGGGAGCAACCTTATAGACTTTTAGTTTTCTTTTTACCTCTCTTCTCTTAGTAAAAATATTCATAAATGATAGTAATAACAAAAAACATAGTTGGTAAAATTTGATGAAGAACGATCTAATGAATCCCAATCACTTTAGTAAAAGAGATTTCTGAGAATAGGTTAGGTAACACTAAGCTAATATTTCTACTTTTATAACTTTACAAATAGAAGCCTTTGAAATTAAATTCTTTAAAATTGGATTCTTAAAAATTAACTTATTGCGTAATGATATATAATCTTTAAAAATAGGATCCTTTAAATGAATTTCATTGTTTTGTGTAGATGGAATTTGGGCATTGTAAATGGATGTATAATAGGAATCATCCAAATCGTATGGTATTGCGGGATAAATTTATAAAAGGGGTTGCTGGCTTTATTGCTAAAACAAAGACTCTTGATGATTTTTTTTATTGAAAGTACGATTAGATGTCCTTGTGTGAAATGCATGTGTGTTAAGTTATTGGGTCCCGATATTGTTACTGTTCATTTGTATAAGAAGGGATTTATGAAACGTTATTATATGTGGACTGTTCATGGGGAGAGTCATGCTAGTGTAGATGGAGTTGATTTTAAGAATGATTTTGGTGGTAAAGAAGGTAGTCACATAGCAGAGAATATTAATGTTGAAAATTCTCGATTTAAAGAAATGGTGAGGGATGCTTTTGAGATATTCCATGGGGCTCAATTCGAACCAAATGATGAGGCTAAGAGCTTCTTCAAGCAGTTAGAGGAAGCGAGTTGTCTGCTTTATGAAGGCGCAGCGCATTCCAAGTTGTCTGTTGCAATTAGATTACTAAGTATTAAATTGGATAATTCTATTTTTTAAGCAGGCATGGATTCTATCATTGGCCTTATGAATGAACTTAATCCGAGAAAGATTGACATGCCCAAAGAGTTTTACACGGCAAAGAAATTAATTTCTAAGTTGGGTCTTTCAACGGAGAGGATTGATTGTTGTGAGAAAGGTTACATGTTATTCTATAAGGATGATGAAGCTTTAGAAAATTATAAATTTTGTAACCAGCCTCGTTACAAAGAAGTCACAAATGCTAAACAGAAGAAGGTTCTAGTGAAGACGATGCACTACTTACCCCTTATACCAAGGTTAAAGAGGTTGTATGCATCAATGAGTTCCGCTCCTCATATGAGATGACACTATAAACATAGAAGGCCAGATAGTGTGCTATGCCATCCATCAGATGGAGAAGCATGGAAGCATTTTGATAGGGTGTTCCTAGACTTGCCACTGAACCGAGAAATATTACGTTGAGATTATGTGCTGATGAATTCACTTCATTTGCAGTGTCTGCTGCACTATATTCATGTTGGCCGGTGTTTGTTACGTTGTATTATCTGCCACCTGAATTGTGTATGATAAATGGATATTTGTTTCTAACTTGTATTGTTCCAGGTCCACCCAATCCAAAATAATTGATTGGTGTATACATGCAGCCCTTGATTGATAAGTTGAAGTTATTGTGGAATCAAGGTGTGGAAACATATGATGTTCAACTAAGCAAAACTTCAAACTCCGTGTTGCTTTGATGTGGACTATAAATGATTTTTCTGCTTATGGAATGAGTCTGGTTGGTCAACTGCCGGAAAGTTAGCTTGCCTATCTTGTATGGAGACACAAAGGCATTCACTTTAAAACATGGAGGCAAGAGCACATGGTTTGATTATCATCGCCACTTCTTGCCAATGGATCATGAGTTTAGGAGAAATACTAGTGCATTTATGAAGAACAAATCTGATTATGAGGAGCCACCGCATGTCTTGTCGCCTGAAGAGATTTGGAACAGAGTTAGGAATCTACCTAAGGTAACAGAGTATCCATTATCTAATAAGATACTGGGGTATGGTATAACACTCCACTGGACAAAACAGAGTATATTTTGGGATTTACCTTATTGGAAGAACAATCTTCTTCGACATAATCTTGATGTCATGCATATCGAGAATTTTTTTGATAACTTGTTTAATACTATAATGGATGTAAGCAACAAGACAAAAGATAACTTGAAGGACATGATGAATTTGAAAGAATATTGTAGGCGAAGTGAGTTGTACTTGACATACTTGAACATCAAGATTCAGAAGCCTAAGGCCAGTTACATATTCACTTTGGATGAGAGAAGAGAGATTTATAATTGGGTTAATAATTTGAGGATGCCTGATGGATATGCGTCAATCTTATCTAGGTGTGTTAATATGGGAGAAGGGAAGTTGACATCTTTGAAAAGCTAAGATTGTCACATTTTCATGGAATCTTTGATGCCTATTGCATTCAATACTTTGCCTGATAGAATATGGAAGCCAACCACAGAGATATACTTATTTTTCAATGAGTTGTACTTTAGAACATTGAGGGCGGAGAACCTAGCTTACATGGGCAGTAACATTCGCTTAACTTTAAACAAGTTGGTGAAAATTTTGTCCCTTAGTTTTTTTGATGTCATGGAACATCTTTCAATTCACCTTGCGCAAGAGGCACAACTAGGAAGGCTAGTTTAATGTAGATGGATGTATCCCTTCGAGAGGTAATTATCTTTAGTCAATTATCCTTACGTGTTTTAGTTAAAAAATATTTTATCTTAAAATCGTGCTATGAATGATAATTGACAATGTAAGCGGATCGTGAAAAATATATTACGGATTGAGGGATCGATATGTGAGGTATATCTAGATAGAGAAACTTCTTATTTTTGTTCATATTATTTTGAACATGATGTCCCATTCTTAAGAAATAGACCTGATCGGCATGATGGTGGTGGCAATACCGATCCATTGGCACCACCTTTTTTTATATTTAATCAACCTGAAAAATGCGGTCTAAAATGTAGTCCAACACGATTGTTGACTGAGATAGAGATAAAGTCAGCTACAATACATATTCTACTAAATTATCTCGAGGTCCAACCTTATTATACGGAAGTGTACATTTATATTGCGACTTACATTCAATATCAATTATCAATCATTTTAACTAATGAAAGTTTCAAATCTATTGGACAATTAGTTTGTGGGTACATATGGGCATGAGCATGTTTATCCTAGGTTTGCAGAATGGTCAAACACTTTATTAGTATTAGCGAAGTTTCTTTCAATGCAAATTATTATCAATTGTATGTGCTTTTTAAATTCGAATTAAATGTTATTGGGTTCGCTCTAGGTGCATAATCCAAATAATGGCGTAAATGATCCATATTTACGTGACATTGCTTGGGGACCTAGCCCTAAGACCAAAATGATGTCTAAGTACTCCCTCAATGTGGTACAAGTTTCATACAGAAGAATGGTCCAAGGGCAAAAAACCAATAATAGTGGCGTGTGTGTGAAAATTGATAGTGATGTTGATTATTATGGTTTGCTTCAAGAGATATTAGAACTCGAGTATATGTTGGTTGGCTGAAGAAAAAGTTAGTACTCTTTCAGTGTGAATGGTATGGTCCAACACCTACTCAAGGTACAATGGTGCATCCTCGGTATAAAATAGTTAAAATAAAGGACATAGGGAGGTATAGGCTCTATGACCCATTTATCATAGCACAAAATGTGAAACAAGTGTATTACGCACCTTGTCCTTTGTGCAAGAAGAAGGTTGCACGAGGGGTAGTGATAAAAACTAAGCATGTGGATAGAGTTGATGTCGAGGATGCATTAGATGTAATATACCAGAATGACATTTCAAGTGTTGAAACAATGGTGGGTGATGAACTAATAGGTGAATTGCAGGATAGTGAAGGCCTTTATGAAAAATTCGAGCCTTCAGTCCTTAGATCAAATCAAAGAGAGTATGAGGAAGGAACATCCATGACAAACGAGGATGGAGATTCAAGTGATAAATATCAAGCAAGCGAGGATGAAGAATTATATGATGAAAATAAAAAAAGCGATGATAAAAATGAATATGATCAATATGAAGAAAGCGATGAGGATTGANTATTCTTTTGTTAATCGTTATAATATGTAGAAAAATTATTTTATATTATTACATGTTAATTTTTTTATTATTATATTTGTTTTACTTAAATTGCACAGATGGCTTCTAAGGGTAAAGAACTGAAACAATCTAAGAAGAAAACAAGTACTTTGCCATCTACGAGTGATCACATTCCTTCACATATGCCTAGTATGAGTCCTCTTCCTAGTTTTTCTCGCCCTTCTCAGTCGACGAATTCATAACAACCTGAGTTTTTCAGAGTCCCCCCCTCCCGGCTAGCACAGTACAATATTATTCCATGCCGACCTAGGGTAGTTTAGCCTCCACTACCATTAATTTTATGCCCATGCCTAATTTGCCACCTTTGAGTCATCGTGTCTCTGCTAGCCAACATGGTGGCTCACCATTGATTCCATCCCAGGGCGGGCATTACAGTCAGCATGATGGTTCGTCTTTTGTGCCTCTATCTTGGTCCACTCCATTATCATCTCCATCATCATCTACTCCTAGTATTTCTAGACCGGATATTAGAGGATCATAGACGATTGCATCCCTATCTACTAGTACTACTTCAGTTGCTCCTTTACGGAGATAATACGCTGGTGAGATTGTAGAGTACGATTATTTGCATTGATTGATTATCGTACCCCATGGGGACGGGTAAGCAATTCTTTAATTTTTAATTATTAGAATAAAAATCCACATATGTTTAACGAATATTTATTTTACATATAATGCAGGTTTTTTCCATCCTTTCAGGCCGCACATATGGTTGTGGAATCTATGAAGACATTATTTTATGAGCCGTGAAATTCCTGGAGAGAGATACCATACCAAATTAGATTGAATATGTGGCTTAAATTTAAGGTACGAATAAATATAATTTATATAACATTTATTGAGTTATTCTAACTTTTGTTTTAATTGCAGAGTAAGTGTGTATGGCAGCCTCCACATGAAATTCAGGTGAATGCAAATTTCGAGAAGATAGCTAAAAAAGGATTAAAGATACTCATTTTGTTGCTCGGGGAGGTGGGAGCAGACCATAATGGTTGCGTCAAGATGTCTGGGTTCAACTATTGGAGAAGTGGAACACCGATGAATGGAAGCAGAAGAGTGAAAAAGCGAAGGAAAACAGAGCCTCCAGTAAAGGTGGCTCTGTCACGACCCAAAACTCACTATAGGCCGTGATGGCGCCCAACGTCGTCGTTAGGCAAGTCAATGGTGAACTACCAACTTAATTATGAACTTTATTATTCTCGAAATCATGAATTTTATTAGATAAAGAAATCAGCGTATTAAAATCATGGAAACTTAAAATTTTAACAGAATAGATAATAAAAGAGTGTAAATGCTAAGCAAAATCACAAACAACTTCTAGAACATCCCAAAACCCGGTGTCACAAGTGCATGAGTATTTACTAAGGAGTAAAATAATAATACAACATCTGTCTGGAATGTAAATAAGACAAGATAAAGTAAATGGTACGATGAAGACTCTGTGGGCTGCGATACGTAGCCTGGAATGCAGCTCACCACAAAGTCTCCTCAATAGCTGCGCCTACGCGCCAAGATGACGAACAATTAAACCTATCAGATCCTGCACATTTAGTGCAGAAGTGTAGCATAACTACGTAAATTAACGCGTACCCAGTAAGTATCTAGCCTAATCCCGAAGAAGTAGTGACGAGGGGTCGACATCGACACCTACTAGAGGTCCAATAAAGTAATATAATAAATCATAAGCATATATGAAGCACACAACAATAATGTGGTAAATCTGTAAGTTACATAATCTTCCAAAAATTTCTTTTAAAGGGAATGATTTTCTCAGTCTTGTATTTTATCTCATCAGCTCAGATATATCAAGTGCCAGTATCAAACGGATAAGGAATACCATATAAAAGGCCAAGTATTAGTGGAAGGATAATATCGTGAATATTCGGACTGCCAACGATATAACACACGATTATGATAAGGTTATTCGGTCCGATCCAGAATAATGTGTACACTGCCGAGGGTCGAGCGGTACGAACCATAGATGCATCTATTATACTGCCGAGACGTTCGGCCCTCTCCACAAGAAAGGAAGAGACTTATCGAATTATGAGTCACATGCTTACAACACAGATACATGTGCATAATAATAAATATACCCCTTTACGTTTATCAAGTATCTTGGCAACAACTCAAGGTGATAAAGCTCAGCCTAATATATTTATATGTTTCTAAATAAATTTCAGTTATAATTTCAATTAATTAATCTAGAAAAATGAGTCCAAACAATTCAAATATTATATGATAAAGTCCTAAGTCTATCCGGACATAAATATGTTGTAGCTATGTACGGACTCTCGTTACCTCGTGCGCACGTAGCACCCACAACTAGTAGCACATAACAATTACATCACCTAGGGGTAGTTTGCCCCTCACAAGGTTAGACAAGAGGCTTACCTCGCTCTGAAGTTTCATTACCGGCTCTCGCGCCTCTCCAACACCTCAAATTAAAGCCCATCGATCCGAAACTAGTCAAACAATGTGCAAACCAATAAAAATACACTCTAATACTCAAAATTAATCAATTCATAACAATTTCCAACTTGCTCGAAAAGTCAACAAAGTCAACCATCAGGCTCACGTGACCGGATTTCGAAAATTATTAAAAATAAATATTACCCATAACTCATATGGTCTATATCCAGAAAAGAATCCAATGTTGTCCATGAATCAACCCTCGAATCAAGGATTTACCATTTCTCAACTTTGGGGCTCAAAATCCCAAATTCTACAATCCAAACACGGATAAAAATAATAACCAATGAAAATAATCTTGGAGAAACATCTAAATAAAGGTCATATATTTACCCCTTGTTTAGACGAGAACAACGCCGCGAAAATCACCTCAAATGGAGCTCTAGAACTCAAGAAATGCCCAAAATACTAAAATTCTCGGTTTAAAACACTATCCAGATAATGTTTCTTCAACGCCTTCGCGGGAGACCTTCGCGTTCGCGAAGAGCAATCTTTCGCATTGACTAGTCAACCCATAAATCCTTCTTCGCGCTTGCGGAACCTCTCTCGCGTTCGCAAAGAGCAAAGCTTCGCACCAGAAACCAGTAATTTTGTCCGACACAGAAATTGGCATAACTCTCTTATACGACATCGGAATTCAACGATTCTTGCTGCTATGGCTCCGTAATTACGATATGGATATAATGGTTCAATAAAATCATAAATCAAATGTCCTTTGCTCAATATAGTATCCTTTATACCCAAGAAAATGATGCCAAAATATCAAATAAGAGTGTGACACAACCCAAACACATCCGAAACACACCCGAGGCCCCCGGGATCCCGTCCAATTATACAAAACAATATCAAAACATAACACGAACCTGCTTGAGGCCTCAAAGTACACCAAACAATGTCAAAACTACGAATCGACGATCGAAACCTTTCTATAAAATTCCAAACATTCAAACTTCGATGAACGCGTCCGATTCATACTTAAACATTCCGGAACGATGCCAAACTTTACGTATAAGTCAAAAATCATGATACGAACCTATTCAAGTTTCAGAACCCCAAACGGATATCGATAATACCAAATTTCACCTCAAACCAAACTTAGAAAATTCTAAAATGTTCAAAATACCAACTTTCCACAATAAGCGCCGAAATGCTCCCGGGCGACTTGATACTCAATCCGAGCATACGCACAAGTCTGGAATCATCATACGAACCTATTGGAACCTTCAAATCCCGATTCCGAGATCATTTACTCATAATTCAAACCATAGTCAACACTTCTAACTTAAGGCTTTCTAATTTAGAATTTTCTTTCCAAATCTACTCCGAACTTTCCGAAATTCAATTCCTATCACACCCACAAGTCATAATACCTGAAGTGAAGCTATTCGAGACCTCAAACCGCCGAACGACGCCGGGTCGTTACATTCTCCCCCACTTAAACATATGTTCGTCCTCGAACGTGCCAAGAACTGTTCTGGAGTTGTCCAAAATCACTTTTTAACAGCTCGTGCACCTACCCGTGCCACCGCAACCCATATGAGCATATTAGCTCGACCCAGATTGAAGATCCTCCTTATAACCTTAGCTAACAAGCCTTAGAACCAAATTCCAACATCCGAAATTCTCCACGAGACCTTATTTTAACATACGAACACCGCATCAATCACTACACTCTGTACCAAAACATGATCATACACCTATGCTGAAATCACACCATGCACCACATAAGTCGGTTGCCCATAATAACATCCTCCGACCACAATAGCTGTAATTTCATGAATTCGATGCCCGCAATACACCCCATAACACATATAAGCCATGTTCCAATTCTCGCAAATACTGCCACGATGAAATAGATGTGCAGAAACTCATAACCACCTGCCGAATCAATAAATCATGGAGTCTCTCCCCCTGACAAGAACCATTACCTCATTCTGAACTGAATAACGATATTTTCTCTTTCATATACCCTACATAACTCTTATCGCACTGATCTTATGTCCAATGACATCATCTCACCCAGTACAAGCTTCTCGTGCAATAAGCTGCCTCAAACACCATCTAAAATCTCATACAGCGAAATCAAAGCGCTAATTAGCTACAACTCGAATGTGACACATAAGGAAGAACGAACTCTGGAAAAAGAACTACACAACCCGCATAACGAATAAAACACCCAAAACGAGGCTATGAACCTTTCTCAGAGAATGAGAAACAAAGTACACAGAAATAAGTATTGCGATGTGCAACCCGATCCACATATGATACCATTGCGGCGTGCAACCCAATCCAAATAACATACTCATGGCGGCGTGCAACCCGATCCACACATAACAATAAAAAAGGAAATACCCATCAAGCCATATTGCTTATACCTACGAAATACCCAAATATCAGCCACAAGCACGCCAAGTGCATAAATATGACTCTGGGGAGACGGATAGCGCCATACGCTACAAAACCCAAGCACAACTAAGGTGTGACAAATGACCAGCATCTCGAGAGCCATCATGTTCATATAACACCACAATCTACACGGGACCACAACACATATGCGAATAATCAAGTCATCTCACAACCCACATGGCAAAATAAAGTATTACATGGAATAGTTGACGACGGGAATAACATCCAACGCTCGAAGACTCCTCCATAAGCAACGCTATGCTGAATGAACACATCCGATCTGATGTAGAGCACACATTCACATTAGACCCATCAATGGACCCCAAGCCGATTCTGATCATCCCATACTAGGCCAACAACCTTTCAAGGATCCACGATGGCCCCATTCATGACACATATGAGCACACGTCACAATCCGGAACAAACTCCCACAGTCCACAACAAAAGGAACAGAGCGCCTTCCAGGCATAAACTCTCACATTAACGATAGTACCGTAACCTCCATGCTTGGTTTCAATCTTTAACAATCAAGTGACTAACATGTCCCACTTATACAGATTTCCCCGTGAGATACGCTCCCACGACCTTCCGCACCAGGTAGTAAGGTCTGCACCTCCATACCACTAACAGTACTAATGCTGTAAAGCAAATCAAGAATTCGCAAATCAGTACACAAAGCCTCTTACACAGGACTTCGTTTTCAGGTGATACTGAAGAAAATACCATCTTACTCTGAACATCTGAATTCTTTCCTCCTCATCTGAGCTCGTGACATTCTTGTCAACACCGAACTGCAACCTTGATCCTCAACTTCCAATTCCCATGTCGCTCACTGCACCTATCATGCCGCTACGCAAGAGTACAAGAATTCATCATAGCCCCTAAACTACTAGTAGAATAAACACTTCATTGGCTAGAAACCTTTCACTTAGCTCATTTCAGAAGAACCAATGCAACACGTAACTAAATTCCCAAACCGTAAAAAATACAAACCTCAAGTCGTGATCTACACCGCCATGACTCTTCCGGAATCCATTTACACAACAAGGCCATTTGAATAAAATACCTCCCAAATCAATCAAGTTATGGTGGTTGTCAAGCCCACACGTACAACCACAAACCACGTGTATAACTTCACACGCCGAAAGAACTAATCATTGCCACAATCATGATGATTCAACCATTACTAACCGATCCAACTTCTTTCAATTTACTCTTAACTTGCCTTAGAAATAATAATAACTCTATGCAAAACATAATGTAACCCAACAATACTCATTTCGAGTGACCCAATTCACGAGACCACATCATCTCAATACCCATAAACCATCTCATACCCTCCTTATGCGCACAATAGCACCTTCAACTG